AGGAAAAACTGTTACACTGAGCATGTAATGAAGGAACAAAGGTTAAACTATACAAAGACCATTTATTTTCTCCTTTTCTCTTACTTTTAAAAAAATACATATTATGCTGTAAACAAATTCACTGCACAAAATTCATTTTGGGTTGAAGGATAGAGAGTAGTACATCCAGAAAAGTCTAGCATTCCTAGTACCATATGTGCAACAAAATAGATGGGCAAAGTTTTGGATTAAGAACATTTTAAAATCTTCATTTTTATTGGAACCTTTCAACTATTGTATTACTATATTTTTCCCTCAAACCCTAGTAGCCTGAAGGCTCATGAATGTCCATAACCTCACTTGCAGGATTAGAGGGCCTGAGCCTGTTCTCATTTACACTGGTATAAACCACTGAAGTGAAGTATATTACACCAGTGTAAAACTGGTGAGAGATCAGAACAAACCCAGAGGGAATGAATGGTTGACTTTAAGGCATTGGGCTAGATTGTCTACTGAGATTTGGCTCCTTGGCTTCTATTGTGACTCTCACATTGGAGTTGTGGGGCTTATTTAATGTTTGGCAAGCGCTGTTTGCTGTAATTCTCTCTCTCTCTTTCTAGACACTGTTGAAATAAAAAAGCCTTGGGTGAAAGGCAAAATATCATCATCATCAATAAGATGAGTAATATTAGCCTATGCCTGTTTGCACCTGTTAATAGTTCATTATCCTTATCGAAAAGATTTCCTTTCTTTTTCTCCTTTTGAAATACATAGTTGTGGAGTTTATATTATTTATAAAATACAATAAGCAAAAAAATTAAAACCAAAAGGTAGTGTGCTCTCAATAAGGGCAATGGTTGACAAGAAGGCTGAAAATCTCACAAGAGGAGCTGCAATTTTGCAGGACCACACGTGCAGAGCAACTGATTTAGTTCAGCAAGCTAATCTATACAAAATGTATGAACTTTCTTTCTTATGGTTGTATCTTAAGAGGACTCTATAAGGTTATCACCATTTACTCCTCTCTGCCAAAAATAGCATATTGTACTTTTAAAGCTAATTTAAAATAAACTCAGGCTTTTGTTTCCACTTGCCTTTGTTTCCATGTCAACAGTGCTATTAATGAATGCACCAGGAAATGTCAATAAGGAGCAAAGAAGAATGAATAAGCACTAAAAACTTCACACACGGTACACACCCCTCACAATTATCTCACTTTAATAAAAATAGGTGAGGTCACCTACAGCATTAACAAATGCTTGGTAACACATTCTGACCCAGATGATTTTTCACAGTTCAATAACAACATGTTTGAAGTTTTCACTACAAACAACACACCCATAGGAGAGACCAAGTGTGGGTACAAGAGAAGCAACCAGCAATTATTGTGTTGACTTCTGTTACTTTGATCTCTGGGTCATGACCTTTGCTTTCTTGCAATCTTCAAAGCAGAGACTGTAGGTGAAGTTATTTAGAATGCACACTGTTTTTCAGGCCACTTTCTTTATGTTTCCTTTTTGGACTGGAATATTTTCTGGCTTTCCTCCTTCCCCTATATTTTAATATACGGCTCTTAATGCCCAGTTATCCCACACATACCCATGAGCTGCTCTCCCCGCTTCCCGCCCCACAACCCCCCAAAGTATTAAAGACACTATTTCTTGAAATAAACTTATGTAAAAATGTAATGTTGGCAAACATTTTAAACAATAGCATTTCACACAAAAAGGAAACTGAATTCACATTTAAAAAATATACATAATCTTCACAAAAACAAAAAACACTCTGTTCCAGCATTTTCAATAGTGTTAGTTGAGAAATAGCTTTTCTTCGTAAAAAAATTTCAACAGAAAGATTTTTTTTTTTTTTTTTTTTTTTTTTTTACAAAAACAGTTTTTTAAACACATTCAACACCATGGATCTCAGAGGATCAGGGCCTTGCTGAAAGAATAATTTCATATGCAAAATTATGTATATAACATCCCACATGTATTTAGATATGCTATAACTTTTATAAAATTACATTAAAATTCATTTTTTAATTTGTGCAACTAACAGCACTTTAGATAATTAAAACTGAAAATCTGAAAAATATATTTGACTTTTCACCACTGGATTAGGTTTTTGTAGGGTTTTGTTTGGTTTAGTTTTTTGCTTTTTGCATTTCCATTCAGCTAGTTACAACAAAAATAGTTGATAAAACCTTGATTTCTCGCCACTTACTTTCTGGTTCTCACACATCTGTAGGATGTAGCAATGTTCAGGTTGCAAGCACCAGAAGGTCTGAATTCAAAACAAAAGGCTCTGGTGTGTGTGGTTTTTTGTTTTTGTTTTTTAAATTTCATATAGGTTGTGTCAAACTTTTTCTCTTTTTTAAAAAAATTAGGGCAGAATTTTATAAGGCACAGAGTCCTATGAAACTAAATACTCTGAACTCTGACTGACTGGAATGGAGGTGAGTATACTATGAATTTTGCAAGATGTGTCCCTTCAAATTTGGGCCTCAACTACCTGACCACAGCCCTTTGAGCAAAACTTTGAAACTCTCACCTACCTATGTAGCTACTGAGTCAATTTTCTCCATAAAGCAGTAGCCATAATAAGTATACATACCAAGACCTTTTGATTATAATACTGTCTGGCACATTCTAAAGATATGACTACACTGAAATTAAAAACCCATGGATGGGCCATGTCATCTGACTTGGGCTTGGGCTAATGGGCTGTTTAACTGTGGTGTTGTTTAACTGTGGTGTTGTTTAACTGCAATGTAGACATTCAGTATAAGGCTGGAGCCTGGGATCTAGACCTCTGCAAGGTGGGAAGGTCCCAGAGCTTGGGCTGCAGCCTGAGTCCAAATATCCACACTGCAATTAAACAGCCCCTTAGCCCGAGTCAGCTGACAAGGGCCAGCCATAGATGTCTAATTGTTGTATAGACAAGTCAAGACTATGGGGATGTGAACTGTAGAATGGTCTAATACGTTGTGCTCTAACTGCCCTGTGTAAACCTTGCTGGTGTGCACTAAAAGGTCACTAGTTCACATTTATGTAGTCCCATTTCAAACAGGACTACAGTAACACAAACTAAGTACTTTTGAGTTCTCACCAGCAGAGTTTACACAGGGTAGTTAAACTGTGACACTTCCAAGCACTCTACAGCTCATACTCCAGTAGTTAAATTACAGCACCATGCAGACAAGCCTAGTTTATGAGATACAATGAATGCTTATGGGAAAGTGCCAGGAAGTTTGCATTTCAGCTCCAGAGCTATATGTTATTTAACTACGGAGTAGGCGATTGACTTTAAAACTGGTTAATTATAACTGTTTTTATAGACGCAAAAATGCCAAAAAAAAAAAAATCTGATTGGGGGGGGGACTTCAGTGTTGCAGTTTTCAACAGATAGATAAATCCAGTCACTTCACATTTCTGACACAGCGGTTTGCCACATTGTGACCTAAAACTACCTTGACCTCATAGAAATCAACATTTTGCAGTGAAATGAAACAACAGACATGCTTGTTTTGATGTATGGCTGTGTGACATATTATAAATATTACATCACATAACCGCAGAGATTGTCAATCAATAAGATTTTTTTCAGACAGCACTAAATGAACCATGGGTTCTTGCCTCTGAATGCCTCCTTTAAGGTACTACTTTTGCTTAAATGATTAATAGCAGACATATTGTCAGAAAGTGTACTTAAAGTGAAAAACAGTAAACTGTAGAAATATCATTCATTTTTAAGCAATTCTCTAGTGAAAATGTCACATAAATTTACATAGAGACAGCACTATCAGGCTTTTTGTAAGCTGGGTATTAGGCATACCTTCCACTTCAGGGTGAAAGTGATGGGAAAATATTTTATAAAATCTAGGCCACGTTACTTAGTGGAAACCAAGATGCCATAGCTATGCGGAATTCAAAAGTAGGATTGTTAGCAGTTAACATCTTTAGGCTAAAGATACATAGAAACTATTCTCAGAAGTTGGGAATACTGAATATAGAATGTTTATACTCAAGGGAGCAGTGCCGCTGCCAACTCCACAAGCAAAATTTCAACCAACTACAGTATTACCAATAAGCCACTGCTCCCTCCAAACAAACCTTCTTTCAGGTCTCCTATCCTTTCTACTGCATGTGTTGAACTATACCTCCTACATAACACTTTTGATCGTGTAAAGATACAATCAGTGTTTTCAATATCTTAGATAACATGCTGAAGAAAAGCTCAGTTTCTCACTTGGATAGATAGCTTACTGACCATGCTTTTTGCCTCTTGTTTAACTCAACAAAAGGGCCATTTTCAGTCAGCTAACATGGAAAACGCCAGTACTCTTGGTCTGAAATCCGGGATCATATTTGACTGGGGCAAAGAAGCTCAGACGACATCAAACAGAATTTTATTATAATGTCTCACTGCCAGAGGGCAGCAGCTATGAAGAATGATGTCACTTCAGCAGGCATTCCACAGAGTCTTGGATCTATATTCAATCACTGTGATCACCAATGACAATTAACCTTTATATTACGTTTTGTTCTTCAAAAAATATACCTATTTGCATATAACTAATTCCCAGATACATTTCTGTAGGGCTACACTCAAGAGGGGACACTTTACCAGGCTTCCACTTCCAAGTGGTTCCTGTTAATTGCCAAACTACCTTTTTGTCTAACTCTACTCATGAAAAGACATTCAAATGTCACACGGATATTTTGCTTATTTCAAGACTCATGGTTTGACTCTACGTACTGACTGCTCTCTCTTTGAGCAGAGAAGTGTGATATCTAAAGAGGAGCCTTCTCTGTATTCTTAATTGATTTCTTTTGAAGTATGTTGAAAGAAGCAAGTCCTCATAATTCCTTTGCAGGAAAAAAGAACGTAGATCTACGATAAGCTAATGATTCGAATCACCAGATTCAGCCACCCTTACTCACACAGTGAGTAGTGCCTCGCTCTGGGCAGGACTAAAGAGAGCACGTAAACTCACAATTAAGTTCATCTCTATTTAAGAAAGCACTTAAGAACATTTCACAAATTTGCGTGTCATCCTTGTGCAGGGGCCATGCTAATCTTCTCTGTATCGTTCCAATTTTAGTATATGTGCTGCAAGTTTCACTTTAAGCATGTGCCTAACTGCCATTGACTTCAGTGGGACTTAATAAGCACATGCTTATGTGCTTTCCTGAACCGGGGCCCCCTGCCAGTAATTCCACTGAAATCAATGGGGTTATTCAAATAGTAAGGCACTACACACAGCAAAATCTGGCCCTAAGGGAGTCATCTTTGCCTAAAGAGTATAGGTTTGTTATTTTGGGAACATGCTCTGGTTTTAGCCATCTGACTCTATCCAGCATTAAGAAATGGACGCATCTTATCATATTTGGGAGCTAAGATACTAACCTGTACCTCTGGTAGTCATCCTCATCCTTGTCCTTGCTGACCAGTTCATTTGGGCAAGCCATGTTTCCTAGTAAACTGAGATATTCCAAGGAGGGCACCACATCAGCCAAGTGATCCAGCAGGCTTTCTAAATCTGTTATGTGTCAAAAATTGTGGGTTAAGGATTCAATTACATTAATGCAAAAAGCATTTATAGTTGCACCACCACTGATTTAAAAATACATTTCAATAACTGGCAATCAAATTTACTATGACCCGCAGGAAGATGTCACATGAATTGTTACAAAGGCAAATGGGGTTAAATTTAAGTCAGGTTTTCGGCACAGATTGAAAGAAGTTGGCTGTTGTGTCATTCTTTTTTCCTTCTCTCTTTTCCATGTGGCTCACTGCAAAACATGAAAACTTTGACAAAATGATGGATACTGTGTGGTAAAATGGTTAGCCATTTCTGGAGCCATTAAACTTTTCCAACTTGGAAACAAACAGTTATTTCAATAGCACATTCATCACTAATACATTCAGTCCACTAGAAAGTGAATTAAAAAAAGGAGTCAACCCACAACAAACCGCTTTCACTACAAGAATATAAATGCTTTGAGTGTCACAGCAATGCATTCATTATTATTCAATTTGTATACATGAATAAATGCTTCACTGAAAGCAACTTAAAAACCCCAGCGTTACAACATGAGGTATACATCGTATACCAAGTGGAAATAAACTCTGGAAACATCATCCAAATGGTTGTACAGTTGGGTGTTGATCAGGCTTTTCCTCACTATATAAATATCTCCACCTTGGATACCTTAAATGAATATGAAAATGAGATTTAAATATCCACTGCAACATGAGAAATGCAAGTTAGATTTAAGCAGCACAGCACACATCAGATTGAACAGGTGCTGGGCTGTTGATTAAACGAAGAAAAAGTATTCATTTTGTTAACATACAATATAAAAGTCCTTAAAAGATTATATATAATCTTATTTCTTTCAATTATATACAAGAAAATGCTGATTCTCAGGAAAGAAGCTGTATGTACTGTGGCAGAGCTCCAACCTTGTCCCCGCGACTTCCAGGCAGTTTATGTTAGCCTCAGAGGCTCACTGCGACCCTCCACATACCCCTTCTCTCTCTAGGGCCAGGGTTACAGTCTACTGAGCCCTTTTCATCATAAGCCAGCAAGAAGGTCAGTGAGAGAACTCCCACAGTCTCTGTTATCCCTATGGGCATATTCAAGAAGAGTGTAGCCTCCTGTCTTGACAGGGGCCTGTCTTCCCCTCCCAGGGGTTGTTTCTACTCTGGGTTCCGGCCCAGGGACCCTAATGGCAGCAGCTGTTGGCAGCCGACCTTTCACCGCCAGAATTGCTACATTTCCCTGGGCCACTTCCTAACAGCTCTCCTGCCTTTCTCTCTTAAACGCCTTCTTCACTCTTACATTAGGGCTCTCTTTCCAGGGTGTCTTCATTACCCAGACCTTCAGCCACACTTCCTCTTCTCTGGCTCCCTTTGACCTGACCGGAGTGAGCCCTTTTATAGTATCAGAGGGGCCTTAATTAGAGTCAGGTGTTCACATTAGCTTAACGGCCTCACCTGACTCTTTGCAGGTTAATTGGAGTCATGTGTCCACTCTAGCCTGGAGCAGCCCCTGCTCTGCTCAGTCAGGGAACAGAAAACTGCTTATCCAGTGGCCAGTATGTCTGCCTTCTACTACTCTGCTGTGCCCAACTGGCCTGGATCTATCACAGTACATACATATTATTTTTACCTTAAAAATGGACTGGCTTTGACAATAGTGACAATTATTCTAAAACTATTCAAGAACAATTCAATGTTCTGTTCTCATCCATTTCTGCTACTACAGAATTTTTTTTCAAAATAATCCTCAGTTCACTTTTATTGCTATTATTTATACTTGATTTATGTTTTTGTATGATCTTTGTTATTTTTAGATGATGGAGTTTATTTTATTTCTTCACCTCAATGTCTTAGGAGCAGCAGCAGCAGCAATAGGCCCTGGAATGTCAAGAATGGCTTCATTGCTAAAAACTCTTCTTTTGTTGTAAACTTAATTTCTATTTTACTTCTCACGTGTATAAAAGCTCATGCTGATAATTATCATTAAGATTTTTTGTATGTTGATTGCCACCAACTCTATATTTACATTTATGCTCTTTTCCATAGACTCTTATGTATCCTCAAATACTCTGCATAAGAATGGGGAAAGTAGCTACAGAGAGAAAATTAAAGCAGACAAGAGTGTCACTTTTTAACATGATACAGCAGAGTTAAGCCTCACATATAGAGGATTATGTTAGAACTATCAAGATAGATTCAGCAACCATTAAAAAAAAAAGTGGAAAGACTCCAACTGATTTCAGGGGGCAATGGATCAGGCCCTTAGAAAAAGTGCATTATTGTAACAATATTATTACAAATCCATCTTTTTCTGCTACCCAAGCCTAACCAAGACATAGTGGTAACTTACTCTGATGCCTCTGAACCCCTGATTCACAGATTATCCTTTTGGAGGAGGATAATGGCTTTCATGGCTCTCCTAGTCAGTACATAACTGACAGAAAGAAAGCACATTTTGCTGAGGTGAAGTACTTATACATTAGCATTGAATTTAGAGAGTCGTCAGACATTGCCAACGGAAGATCAAATGATTGTTTGAAGTAACCCTGATTCAGGTGCAATCCTGTTAATCTTCTGTAGGACATCTCAACCTACAAAGATGTTCCCTGAAAGAGGTGCTTTAGCACCACAAAAGTTAATTATTTCCATTTCTTTTCCTTAATGGCAATCCCAAGAAGTTTGCTATTAAAGATCTGACCTTTTATTACAGAAAATTCTTAGTGTAGCACAGGTAGAAAAGATCTTCCTTTACAGAGTGAGTGAGCAGAATTTTCTGTCATCACTTCATTAAAACATCTTGTGAAGCAGAAGTTATTCATTTTTCAATCCTTAGAGCTACTTAAAGAATGCTGAATCAGGTTGGGACAGAAGTGTTCACTATAAATCCAAGTCAGCCATGAACCATATTACCAAAAGTATTTAGGTGCCTAACAGTGCAGAGAGGAACCTCTAGCAGGATTTACAGAAGTGCCTCAACAGGTTAGTCACCTAACTTCCCTTGAAAGTCAACAATACTGACATGCCAACTTCACTTAGGCACTCTGGTAAATCCCACAAGATGCCCATCTGCACCTTTAAGAATCTAAAAATATGGCCGCAAGTATCTAGATTAAATGTGAGCACCAGACACTGACCTTTACTTTTAGAAGAAGAAAAATGTAGGTTCCTACTCAGCAGAGAAGGAGAACTCATAACCAAGACGACATCAAGAAGACTGAGGTGTTTCATGCAAATTTTGCTTCAGTGTTTACTAAAAAGGTTAATGGTCACCAGATACTCAATACAATTAATGTTAACAAGGGGGAAGGAACACAACCCAGAACAGGAAAAGAACAGCTTAAAGAATATTTAGACATGTTAGATGTATTCAAGTAATCACAGCCTGATGAAATTTGTCCCAGTTACTTAAGCAACTACCTGAAGCAATCTTGAAACCATTAGCATTTATTATCAAGAACTCATGGAGGAGAGGTGAGATCCCAGACGACCGGAGAAGGGCAAACATAGTACCTATCTTTAAAAAGGGAGGAGCTGGGGAATTAAAAATGTCAGTTAACTTCTATATGTGGAAAGATACTGGAACAAATTATGTAAAAATTCTTAAGAACCTACAAATCTCAGTTGGGGGCTCAAGGTCCTACTATAATATAAATAATAATCAATTATCTTTCATGAAGAAGGATTCCAAACCACTTTTCAAATCCTGGGCTAAACCCTTGGATCTGAACTTCCAGCCAGTGCCTTGCTTGTTACACTGTGAAAGAAAAATTAGAGTTCATTTGAAGCCAGATACCATATCAAAGCCTGCAGAAGAAAATCCACACTATTCCTCTGCTGCAGTCAACTAAGAGGATGATAGGGTGATAAGTAACAGCCAGCATGGCTTTGACAAGAACAAATGATGCCAAACAAACATAATTGCCTTCTTTGAGAGAGTTACTTGCCTAGTGGATGGAAGCAGTAGACATATCATATCAAGTTTAGGAAGGCTTTCGACACAGTATCAGATGACAATTTCATAAGCAAACTAAGGTAATGTGGTCTAGATTCAAGTATTATATAGTGGGTGCACAACTCGTTGAAAGACCATATTCAAAGAGTAGTTATCAATGGTTCGCTGCCAAATGGGGAAAGCATATCTAGTGGGATCCCACAGAGGTTAGTCCTGGATACAGTACTATTCAATATTTTCATTAATGACTTAGATAATGGAGTGGAGAGTATGCTTACTAAATTTGTGGATGGCACCAAGCTAGGAGGGGTTGCAAGCACATTGGAGGACTGGATTAAAATTCAAAACAATCTTGACAAATTAGAGAATTGGCCAGAAATCAACAAGATGAAATTCACTAAAGATAAGTGCAAAGTACTTTAATTTAGAAGGAAAAAAAATCAATACACAACTACAAAATAGGGAATAGCCAGCTAAATAGTAGTACTGCTATAAAGAAGTAGGGTTATAGTGGATCAAAACTGAATACAAGTCAACAATGTGATGCAGCTACAAAAAAAAAAAAGCCAATATCATTCTGGGGTATATTAACAGAGAGTTGTATGTAACGAATACAATGTAATTTT